ATTTTTCCGAGCAGAGACTGGTATCTAGATAGACCAGCACGATTACTTCCGTTCTATATATGATTGACAAGTAGTCTTCAAACACACACGTTGTGATCAGATCGTGACATTGAACTTAGTGTAGTACAACAGCGCTGCCGAATGATGAGATATATCAAGCAAAAAATTAGAGCCCATGAAACTTGTTCATTTGAAATTTTGCAAAATGCTCCTCAAGGTGACAAAAAATGCTAGTAACCTTGCATGCAGAGCTGAGTTAGGAAGGTTTCCGCTAAAAAGCAAAGCATGTAGTAGAAGCTTTAAATTCTGGCATATAATTATAAAGTCGGAACAACACCCAGAAATCTTTCAGCTGTAGTCTACCAAGAAATTAAAAATGAAATTAAAAAAGCCTTTTGGAGCATAAAAATTAAAACTACTTTAGAACAACTCGGATTGGGGATAATTTGGATGAAACAAAATKAACTTTCTCCAAGATGGTATGAATATRGAAAAATAATAACCCAAAGAATATATGACATTGAGAGGCAAATTTTATGGAGCAACCTCCACAATGGTGAAAGGAAAGACAACAGACATAAAAATAAACTCAGAGTCTTTCGTCAGTTCAAAACGGATTATAACTTTGAAGAATATTTAAGTCAAGTCACCAATATTAAGGCGAAGCACAGAGTGGCCCTCAGATTATTAATTAGCACACAATAAGCTTGAAGTGGAAACGGGGAGGTATAAGAGGCCTTGTCTCATTTAAGATGAAAGGATTCGCCCAGTTTGTAAGTTGGGAGTAGAAAACGAAAAATACTTTCTAGTTTGGTGTCCACTCTCATAGAAACGATTTAAAAGAGTTCATAGGAAAAAAACACCAGCATTAATTTCAGCAATATGAGCGCCGCCAGTCGTTTTCTGTTCTTAATCAATTCAAAATCAGCGTCTCTACAAAAAGCTATACCAGCATACATTTATCAATGTATGCTGATACGTGAAAACGAAATAAAAAAAATACCTAATACATAGTATATGTATATACCTATAATATATTTGGAATCAAACACCCATGTACTCTTAAGTATAAGGTGCCAAATAAATTGTATCGTATTGTATTGTATTAGGCAGTACCCCCCTCAAAAACCATTTTTTTAGTTYTTMCCCCCCCCCCCCCGTTATGTTAAAAATAACGTTGAACCCCCCACCAATGATTACCATCCTTCAATTAGAAATTCTTTATGTGAATACCTGTTGTCATGCTGTTGCAAGCCTGTGCTTACTTGTTCGATGTCCTCGTCTGCAACAAATAAGAATGTTCAACAAAACCGTCCTTTGCAGAGTCATCTGATTCCACATCAGAGCTGTTTTCAGAAGAATCAGAGTCGTATTCGGAATCACTGGACAGGAATTCTGTACTACTATCACTGGAATTAATTATTTCATCCCTCCGGTGTTTCAGCTAGAGCAAAATAAGGACGCGTGCTACCAGCGCAGCTTTATTTCCTGTTAATACGTTTAGATTGTTCTGCTTGAGGTAGATCTTTAGTTGTTTTGCTGTCAGAGTTTGAGTGTTTCGTTCAGCTTTCCTTTTTTGAGCTTTCAATTCAAGAAACTCAAGATTTTGCACAGAGCATTTGAGAGTGGTTACATCGACCATCAATTACTGGCACACCTCCTGCATTTCATTCACATTGGATGAGGTTAACCTACCAGAAACAAACATCTGCTTGATTTGCACACTTGGAAGTTGTCGGTCGACTTCGTCACTCAGACTGGTCACATTAGATGAGATGTATCCGAGTGATTTTACATACATTTTGAATAAAACTTAAGCCCCCCCCCCCCACAAACCGGGTTTTTTTTTTGGCCCCCCCCTTTCTTATGTTGATTTTTTTTTTTTTTCCCCCCCCCCCCCCCCTCCTGGTAATTATTGCACATTCCCTTATAAGGAAATGTATGGGGGTTCTTCAAAAAATTCAATAAAATCATTGAAACGTGAAATAAAGCCTCGACATTTTACTTGATCATTGAGAAATAGCACTTCGAAGATTTTGCTTTATTTAAAACGTTCTTCGAAAAAAAATTCGTTCTCAAGACCAGCAAGGAAGTAGTTGACTAAACTTACACAGTTTAAAAACAAGAGCAACAGCAACATTTTAGGATACTTTTCAATAATTTCATTCAATAGTAATTCTTTAAACCGAGTGTCCAAAAGCGACAAACAAAACTGAGATTATGAAGTGTTAGTGCGATTTTCTCCAAATCTAACATAAAAATATTTCTTTAAATCTATGATATTTTATCACATCTGAATCACGCGCACTTTTATTTTTTCCAATTTTCGATTTTTCTACATTTTCTTGCGTTGAAAACTTTGATTTTAATAAAATATACATTAGTGCTAACTTCAAACAAAGTGCAACAACGTATAAATTCTAAATTAATGATCCAGCAAACAGAACATTGTCAACGCGACGATTGTTCTGTTTGGTGATCACGAAACTGTATCGAAACACCTTAAAGACGCGAAGACTAATCTCTAATGCGACTTTCTCGGTTCTATAGGCATGAGAGAGGGATTATGACTAACATTTGGCGCTCGAAATGAAATTCGAAGACATACGAGGTTTAAAAGACTCGTGATGGTTCGCTGTTGGGATCCCGAGTCTCCAATCTTCTCTTATTTCTTACTGTTGGGGGGATCCTTAAAACGGGCTAAATTTAAAAAAATAACCAAAGAGAAAGAAAGAAATGCTATTTCTCAATGATCAAGTAAAAATTTCGAAGCTTTATTTTACGTTTCAATGATTTTATTGAAATTTTTGAATAACTAGCACTCCCATACATTTCTTTATTCTCGACTTTCACATCTAAATAATGCCTGGCGTTTTTGGGGGGTAACTTATCAAAAAACTGTCCCAAATTAAAAGGTTTCTTAATTGAAGTTATATTATACTTGCTTTTATCTGTACAATACTGATTATCAGTTTTTTCCAAGTTATTTTTGCATGTGAAGAGTTTTGGTCTTACAGAAAATGTATTCACTTACGAAAAAAATGCTTAAAATTTACCTTAAACGATTTCAAGCTTCTATCTATTTCTGTTTTTTACTTCTTAATTTTATCTTTGGATACCAAACAAGGTATTTTCAACATTGTCTGATCAGCCATCAGCAAAATAAGTGTGCTTTTACCCTCTGGTTACCCCCCAAAGACGCAAAGGATTATGGGGATGTGAAAGTCTAGAATAACATGGCACCACAGAAACCAAGCTTGGGCTACCTGTGGATAAAATCACGGAAGAGAGAACTGAGTAAAATACCTCTTGATATTCATTTAACTCTCATGTAAGTATGATTTTCTTTTATGTCTCTATAAAGCTATCATTATGGTTGTTTTTTGTTTTTTTTTTTGTACAAAACCTCTGAAAAAAAATTCGGCAGCGCTGTTGAACTACACTAAGTTCAATGTCACGATCAGATCACAACGTGTGTGTTTGAAGACTACTTGTCAATCATATATAGAACGGAAGCAATCGTGCTGGTCTGTCTAGATACCAGTCTCTGCTCGGAAAAATCGACGAACCATCTCCACCCGCGTCTTAGTTACACCCTTTGGATGGATGGATGGATGGATGGATGGATGGATGGATGGGTGAATGGATGAATGGATGGATGGATGGATGGATGGATGGATGGATGGATGGATGGATGGATGGATGGATGGATGGATGGATGGATGG